CGACTGTCGTTAAGCTTAAATTTGCTCAAAGCATACACCAGTACGTTTCAATGTTACAGACTAAAAAATGAACATTTTGACTGACAATTTATCTAAGGTTCTTTTCTTAGTATGAAATTTGAAAACGCGTCATTATAGTTAAAGGCTTGAACTGGAAAGCCACTGGAGGTAGCTTTCAATGCCTCTTGTACTACTGCTGCGTCAAAATTTAATATACATTGGTAAGACGGATCCATAGTTTGACTATCTATTCCGTACTCACATTAAGGTGAGCCTCTGCATTTCAGTCTGCGCAAATGGTACATCTGCTTTTCTTATACGATTAATAGGGATTCAAACCAGGTTGAGCAACAGTATCACCTTGCATCAGTTTTTTTTAGGAGATGTTGATTCGCCTACTGCTCGCCAGCTATCGCTGGCGGGGATATATTTTGATTTCGCGAAAGACGTTGAACTACCTGCCGAGTTTCAGGTGCAAATATTCAAGCGCCGCTTATTGGTATCTGAGGGGCCGCCTGCAACATCTTTATTTCTTAGAGGCTTGCGGTTTGCATTGAATATGTGGAGAATAGGTGTTTGATAACAGGGAAAAACCTGATGTTCGGCGTTCTCATAATCTACCACATTACAGAGGTCAGCTGAACGTCCACCTTCTCATTGCAGCCCTGCTTTGCCATACTCGCAACAGTACATAGGAAAGGAACGAATGGCGTGAATCCTGAATTGCTCAGTATCCTGACATCTGCCGCCCATTAACTAAAGTAATCCTCAAAATACGTAGCTTTACTTTTTTGATACCCACAGCCGGCAGTACGATAACAATAAAAACGATTTCTTTGTCCAAACATTCCGGCTGACCAGGCAACTACAGTCACGGAGAAAGGGGAAAGGTTTTAGGAAAAGAGAAATATGAAAACGTCTTACCAATAATAGCAGATGACTAGCTGATTTACAAGTGGAATGTGAAGAAGAAAGGCTTCAGGAAGTTTCATCGGTTAAAGTGTCTCAAACCTGTCCAATATTTGGCCTGAGTAAGGAGGATATCCTTCCACAAAAAAAACTCGCCTGTGTGGGGTCATTGCTGTTGCACGGCATTGAGATAGCAGTTATAACGCGGGAACGATACCGCCGGTTAAACCGCGTACAACAGCGTTTGTTTTGACGCGTAATGACGGTTAATTGGCAGGATGGGGTAAGGAATGGCTCTATTTTTTCGGGCACAGGTAACCGCAGTGGATGCGAAGATAGAAAAAAGGAGGTTTTCTCTTTCAGGCAAACTGGTTCATCATAACTATTTGCTCAAACCCATGAGCTTCTCGTATGATAGTTAATACACAGTAAACGTATTTGAGGAGGACAGCACGCAACAAGGAGGAACAAAATTAAGGCAGATCAACTTTAGTAAAGGAACATTTCCTATCTTGATGTAGCAGTCGGTGCCTGATAGCGAAAGTGCGCAAAAGCTACGAATTCT